TGCCTTGCTGTAGTTTCGCACTTTTATTGATTTTGGCTTCACAGCCTTTGTAAAATGTCACGTTTGATGGGTGTTTTGAGCTCTATAGCGCTTGCTTGCTAGGGTCTAGGGTGAATTTATGGCGAGGCCCACTCTTACTTCTTCACGGCTGGCACCCATCTACAATTCAGATATGCAGCATGCATGTGCTGAATCTAGGGCTCGCGTTCGATTTGAATGGCGTTGCAGTGAAGCTTGGCTGACCTTGGCAAACAGGTTGGCGGGATAGCTTGGCAGGCTTATTGTAGATGTACGCACGCGCCTTCTACTAAGGATGGCATTGTGTGACTGTCACTACTTTGGGAATGCTGCGGACACGCAAGCTCACCTAGACTTGGCGTATGACCACTTCCGCGCCTTCTGCAGAGCAGAGCGCGTTGCAACATCGCAACCGGCTTTTAAAGTCCGGCACGCAGCTGGGTTGAAATGGCATCGTGTTCCTTAGCCGGCTGGATTGCCAGTTTCCAGTGTTACGCAAATTGGGCATTTTTAGTTTTAGCGGATTTGAAGCGGGGAGTGTAGCTGGCATGTACTTGTTTCCAGCAGCCCAGGTGCAAAAGAAAGACGGCAGCACGCTTTTCACAACAAAAGCACACAACGGACGCGTTGTGGTTGAGTGGGTTGCTCGTTGTCTTACCGACGCTGCGACACAAACAGACAGATTTGCAGATGACCGGCTACCGCTTTTGGCATCATGCGCGAGTCTTGCCTGCATTAACACTCCTTGCTTCAGCGGCGCACTCTCGCTACCCTTTTTGCAGGGTCTTTTGTTTGTCAGTCTTTTGTTCTGATTTATTTTATTTATTTCTTCCTTGCAGTTTTCTTTCTGTCTTTCTTTCTTTCTTTCTTTCTTTCTTTCTTTCTTTCTTTCTTTCTGTGTTTCTTATTCATTTATTTATGATATTATGTTTGTATTCATTTCTGTTAGTTTGTCTGTCTCTATCTTCTTTCTGTCTCTCTCTCTCTTGTCTATTTGTCTTCTCTCTCGCTCTCTCTCACTCTCGCTTTCTCGCTCTGTCTCTCTGGCTCTCTCTTTCTCTCTCTATCTTCTGAGGACCAGTTTGGCCTTGTTCTTCGGCATCAGCGAACGGTGCGGCCGCATTCTGGAGCCGGGTGACGCAGCCGAGTTGCATCGCGTTGGCAGTAAGTTTTGCGAGACATACATCGCTTTGGCGAAGTTGTCGGCGCAGCGTGGTCTGGATCATTTCAGACTTCGCCCAAAGCTTCATGCGCCTTGCCTTGCATCATCAGCTATTTATTTGCAAGAAGTGCAGAATTATAACTTTTAGCGAGACTACTGTTGCGCCCGCGCGCATACGCATCCGCCAGTTGACGCTGCACATGGTGATGGATGTCTTGACGCGGCGCAAGAACTACCGTCACTTTCATTGCTTCGGTGATGAAGACGGAATGAAACATCTTAAAGGCGCCTTTGATCAATAAAGGATTGAGTTCTCTCTCTCTCTCTCTCTCTCTCTCCTTTTCTCTCTTTCTTTTTCTCTGTCTCTTGTCTGTGTGTCTCTTTTTCTCTCTCGCTCTCCCCCTCACTCCTCTTGCACATGGATTTCAGCTTGTTGGTTTCTCAAATCCGTGAAAATTCCAATGTGTGTGCAGAAAAGCCCACGCTTTGCATCGCTCTCGATGGGTCCTTTACATCACCAAGCTGCGCTTGATTAGCATGAAGAGCAAAATCAAAGCGTGCCTTGGCTAATTGTCGATCACACATTATGCTACATTGCGCAGCCCTTTGCTTGGCCAAATGTGAGCCCTTGGCGTCCGAAAGCAAGATTTGAGCTGAGGCTGAACAGATCCGTGCGGAAGCGGCAAGCGAAGCACTCTCAGTGAATCTGTGCGGCAACTGCACATGAAGCACTCTCAAGCTCGGCAAAAAATGGTACTGCGCGGCCCTGTCCATCCCCTTTTACATGGGGTTTTGGTGAAAATAACGATCCGACCCCATTTAAGCAAAAAATGTCCTTTTCCCAGGAAATGTCCTTTACCACAAAGGCCATTTATTTAATGTACTTTGGAAGTCTGGGGGATGGGTTTGTCTCAAAATTATTCGGGGAGGCCTCCTGAAATCAAGTCTTCCTATTCGCCACCAAAGGGTGCGGACAGCTGGGTTGTTCGGTCGATCAGTCGGTCTAGCGGTCGGTATTGGTTAAAAGAGAAACCAAACAAAAAGAAAAACCATCATGTGGTGGCTTCCCGAAAACACTCGATGATCCTAAATCCGTTCAACCTGTCCGGGTTGAATCGACATCTGTTGAAATCCCCGAAACATGAGACCTCCCAATCAACCGCAAAGCCTCACCGAAGCTCCGATCCACTGCGCTCCACTGCGCTCCGCTCGGCTCGCTCTCCTTCACTCTTTCTCTCTTTCTGTCTTCTTTCTTTCTTTCTTTCTTTCTTTCTTTCTTTCTTTCTTTCTTTCTTTCTGTCTTTCTCCCTGTCTCTCTCTCTCTCTCTCTGTCTCTCGCTCTTTCTCTCCGCGTGTATCGGCGCCGGAGTCCGCGCCTAGCGCATGAAGCAGCGCTTCCCTGGAGCCCAGCGGGTTGTCCTCGGGCAGATCCTCGCACTCATCCAGCTCGCAGGCGCAGGTCTTGTAGACCTCGCACAGCGGGTTCGTGCACCTCGGCTGGCCCACTCCGTTGCCCTGACCCCATATTATATTAATCCCCTTCCATTAATATGGGGGTGTTCCCGTCCAAAAGTGGCCCGGTTCCCACTAGACCCAGGGAAAAGCACACCCCTATTTATCAACAAGGGTCAACATTGAAAGGTTAACCTTCTGGGGTCATGACTAGAACTGGACCAAAACAGGAAAACCAGAAGGTGAAAAGGTCGGCCTTGGGCGTCTCAGGGTTTCAATATGACTTCTTGAGTGGATTGGCCGCCAAAAAGAAGCCGGAACTGTTGTTTAAAAGTAATGGCCCTTAGAATGTACAACCCAGAGGCTCTGGAAGTGAGCCAAGTGTGCCTGCAAACCAACGCGCTGAAATTCAAAAGCCGAAACATGTCAGCGCCCTGTCAAGTAGTCACAAGTAGTCATCCTCGTGATGCCCCGAGACAGGGCCCCAACTACTTCAGGGAGCGCCCCGCTGCGCTGCCGAGCTCGGGTGAAGAATCGCCAGAAGTAGCGGCTCTTGAAGCAACTGGATTGTTTCTCACCCACCTACTCGCAGCAGGAAACTTGACGCAAATGGGCATTTATCGACCTAAATGCCCATTTCTCCATTTGGTGCCTGCTTCGAGGCTGCCCTAAGTCATGGCGGGCAAGACTGTGGATGGACAAAATCTCGCGCCAGCTTTTCAGTAGTGTAGACCTGTCCCTATGAGGCATTCTGACCTTTATTCATCCTAACTGGTGCGAAGCGGATTGCTCCATTTCGCTTTGCAAGCGAGGCACGTTTCAAAGACCGTCCGCGAGCAGCCGATCAGACCCCAGGCGTTCGGCATGGGAGTTGAAACAAGGAGCTCCGATGAAACTACTGGCCTGTCTGCAAGCTGCGCGTACATGGGCATGGGTCAAAATCCAAATCGTACCCCCAGTGAACATCCCAATCCAACCACTAAATTAGGTTCCAAAATGGGTGGTGAATTCACCTACCAACCAACATGGGATCCCCTTGGTTTTGACGCACAGCCATCAATTTGGACCCGACCCACATGCTGAGCTCGTCTTTCCCCAGCGCTCCTTGTACTTGGCCCAGCTAAGGCCGGCGGCACCCCTAAACTCTGAGGCGGGCGGGGGGCTCTGCAAAAGAAGCCGGAGAGGAAACCTCTGGTTGCCCAAACTGCGCATGGTTGCAACATCCTCTTGGGCACCACCTAAGAAACCCTGGCTTCTCATGCTTCCCTTGGAAACTGAAAGGTCAAAAGGTTGGCTTTGGGCAAGTGAGATTCCTAAAATCCTAGAATAAGGACTTCCATTTACTTAAGCCCCTGAAAGAACAAAAGCACATTTTCTTGTAGTGATAGATTCCCAGTAAACCCAGCAGGGGAAACAGTTGTTTCTCTTATGGAAGAGGATGAACAAATCAGGGATCCCAGAAGGTTCTCGTGACCGCTCAGTCAAAATATGGGGACTCCCACGGACTATGATCCCCCAAATCTTAAGGCAACCCAACCCCCCCAACTCAGCCCCCAAAAGAGACCACAGTTTGTGAGGGAACAGGTTCGCATCGAACTCAGTAAACGACTAGACAAACTGAACCCAGTTTGGCGGTCCATCCAATGTCCACCAAACGGATCCGAAATAAACCCTAATGCAAGCTCAGATCAACACACACCCAGTTGATTGCTTGGGGCGTCCCATTTTGGAGGGGTTCAAATCACTTTTTGGGAACGCACCCCAAATCATCCCGCAGGCTCTATTTAAGCGGGGGGGGGGGGATTACTCTCTCCTTCTCATGTCATCGCCATATGTTTGTTTAAGGATGACATGGGAAATTGAGAGGGATGGGTGAGGCATGAAGAGATAGGCCTCACCGTCTATCACCCCTCTAACTTAACCACCTCTCCAACTCCAACCCCTTCCTCCAGCCGTGCCCACGATCCGCTCTCTCACAAGGTTAGACAAGTAGTTGGTGTCCCAAAAAGATAGACCATGAGGAACTGCCGGTGGACGCTATTAACCCAGCTCACGCAGAGGCTGCATAAAACTTGCACATGACTATCTTATGCTGGCCTAAACTTGTTTCACCACACCCCGTTGCCCTCCCATTGCAATCAACATGGGTGTGTAAATTTTAATGGGGGACCCTTTGGTGGACATCAAAATTCGATGGGGATTCAAGTCCACCAACCACTTCTGAGGTGGGTCCCCATTAAAATTCGTAGCCACATGGACGGGAAAAAACACCCTTGTAGAACAAACTCCTTTTGGGGCACCCGGTCCCCTGCCATCAGCTTCTGCCTGGCCCCCTCCCCCTCCCCACTCACCGGACAAGCCAGGCAGCGAGCTCCCCCTCCGCCGTCAGCTCCAGCCAGAGCACCTTAGACCAGCCCTCTGATTGATGGCCAGGAAGCAAATCCACCCAAGATCCAAACCAGATGTTGAATTTGGGATGCCTGATGCTCGGATGGATTCCACTGAGCAAGCTCCAAAAAGACGAGGGGGGGAGGAAAAGACAAGCAAACCAACAACCAACCAACCGACCAACCGACCGACCGACCGACCGACCGACCAACCAAAAAAAGAAACACCCACCAAAAAAACACACTACAACAACCAAACGAACACAAAAACGCAATCAACAAACAACATACAAACACAACTGAACCTAAGAAGCATCACTGGTCGTCCGGGGCACCACCGCCACGCAGCGCCGCGCCTTTTCCGCCACCTCGGCCTCCGGCGCGTCCGGATTGGCAGCGTCCGCGTCCGCGGCCAGTGGGGGCGCCGGAGCCACCAGGAAGCTGCGGCAGAGCGGTGGCCCGCGTGCGGAAAACGAGAAATACTGGCAGAAAGGGGTCCGAACCGCCAGTGGCTGTGAATTTTCAGCAACGACCAGAAAAACCTAGCATCGAAGTAGGCACACCCATGCGGATACCAAACAAGGCACACCCATATGGCGGCGCTCGATTTTTTCGATAACTGGAGATAAATCCGCAAATTTGGATGTCCGGGATCCTCAGCTAATATTCAGACCCACATAAGGCAATTGTGTGCCGCCATGTAGTCTACCCCATTGCAAAAAAGAAACGTGTTGGAGGGCCCCATTTGGGGCATCTGCCCCGATGGAGGTTTCATCTTGCTAGATCCCTGTTGGATGGCACATATGTCTGTGATTGAGGAACCTGTTGGCTGTTGTCACAGCACGCCAAGCATTGTGCGAGCCGCCTACAATCTGTCAAGCGATCATGGCAGCCTCAAAGAGCAAGCAGTTTATCCGAAGGCAGATATTAGACGTTCCCTTGTCCCACTGCAGGTTAGGATTCGAGAGCTCACACTTGTTATAGTTTGGACATCGACGTTTGGGGTCATGTAAAGTGAGTTCTTTTTGGTGGCTCGAAGGCTCAAAGGGAAATAGAAGTAACCCTTCCTTTTCAGCTGGGTTGGCACACTTTGGGCTTCTGTTGAACGAGAAAAACACATTTTAGTCAAGGCCCAGGGGGCATGGGAAGAGAATGGGTAGGTTGATTTTGAAGGGGGGTGCCCCCACCCAAGCAAGGCTGAACAACGGACATGCTCCCAACCGTGGCGATCCCACGCGTCCTGATCTGCTGGTCCTTCAGAGCCTCCGGCGCGTGGTGGAGCCAGCGCGCTCCTCTCGGCTCGAGCCACCCCAAGCGCACTTCTCTTGGCGGTTCATTGTTTTCAGCCGTTGGAACCGTTCCGCTATTGTTTCAGAAGGGGACGCCCTGGCAAAAACTAGTGTTTCCGTCCTTTTGGTCCCCTTGAGGGCACCTGCGATTGTTTAAAGTTTAGCTGAACCTTGGTTGAACGTGTTGCCTGGCCCCTGGAAAGTTCCCGCAGATGGAGGCATTCTTTGCCCAAACGGAACATGCCTGACAGAGGTCTCGGCATTACCTTAAGGGGGTGGGTATCAACACGGCATACTCATTTTGGTTTCCTGTTGCCAATGAAGACTAACCCAGTCTGCGCACCGAATCCTGCAATCGAACTGAGTGGGGATTGAAGACAATGTGCCGAGGACGAAAGGTGAGAACGCAACAGGGCAAGATAGAAACCTGTTTGAATGGTTCCCTTTGGGATCTCTCAAGCTAGATGTGATTGACACATAACCTCTCACTGTTGGAGGCTCTCTGCCAAAAAGGCCATGGACACTTAGAGTCTATAGACAGAATTTGTTGTATTGAAAAAAAACAAACTACCATTTCTTTTTTCCAGAAACTGGACGTCCTTTTTCCAGCACCCCACCCCCCCCTTCAGCCTATCGGCCCATCCGACCCGCCGCTGGACGGGTCGATGGTGCGCCTTCGACACCGCCCAGCGCCGTGCTGACTCGCTGAGGGGAATCGGCCACCACTAGCACCTGGTAACCCGAAACAGGCAACAGGCATGCCTCGACATCGGACCCCAAAACCCCGCGGAAAGACCACCAAAATCCGGGGAGGGTGGGGGGGGGAAACGCAAAAACCCGCGAAATCGGGAAAAAAAAAAAAAAAACATTAAGACACGATACGAAGAATGAGTGTGCTTTTGAGCTTCCTTTTGAGCTGGTGTCCTTGATATATGTCAATTTTGGGCGATCTTAAATGGGATCTTGCTGATGGGTTCTGCGATGCTACGCACATGACTGTCCCACTTAGAAGAACAGGGGAGCCAAATAATTGTGGTGTCCCTTGTCCTTCAAACCAACCTAATTAAGCTCCCAAAAGCCCCATATAAAGGGAAGTGAGTCGTGAGCCAAGGGGTCCTGCTGCCATGACCCTCACAGAAACCCCGCGGTTTGCAGTCCGACCGCCAGTTGGAGGCCTCCAGGGGACGGAAAACATGTCGCCTTGGTTTTTCCAGAGGTGCCATGGATAAGACCTGTCAATGGCCCGCCTTGCAAGGGTCCAACGCTTGCTTTGGGCGATTTGATGGCTAGCTGAGCTTCTCTTTGGCGGGGGGATGTTTATAAGGAACCCTGCGCGGTCGAACAAAACAAAAGACCAAACAACGCAAGTTAGAATGACCTGGCTGCAGTGTTACACTGTGTGCATACCTTTTTAGGGGTTCTGCTGGGATTCAAGCTCTTGTTTCCTTTAGGCGTCCGTTTGTCCTTCCTCTACTGGTGCCTCCCTCAATTTTGTGGGAGCGCCAATCTTCAGCAAACGTTTGCTTAAACAAGATTGCCATGAAACCCTAAATGAACAGGAAAAACCTCGGTGAGCAGTTCCAGCGCCAGCTTCATCACTTCCAACCCCATTGAAGCAAAAACCACACCAACCTTCTCAAAGAAATGACCGATCGACCGTGCAGCCTAGACGAGTCCTTTCCATGGGAGTCTTTCGCGCTTAAAAACTTGATGGGCTTCAGGTGTCCTTTCGCCATCTTCAAAAGCTTTCCCGCAAATTGACGTGCAACCCACGCCAACCCACCACCCTTGTGATCTCCGTTGGCAAACCGGGCAGTTCCAAAAGCAACCCCGCCGGAGCCCCATCAAAAAATGCTCTCTCCTCAAAAGCTTCAAGTTTTTATACCATGACTCCAGTCCCTTCTCCTTAAAACAAGCGGCTGTGGGTCACAAATACGTACCCAAAATGGCACCCTGGGAAGTGGAAATATGGACCAAAATCTGCGGTCCCCTGGTGGTTTAATTTTGACCCACACCCAAGTGATTCTTCTCAACTCAGTTGCCCAAAGGACCCAAAAAAGGAAGCTCCCTGGCCCCGCACCTCGAGGCCATTGCAACGCGGACGCTTGCACGGCGGGGCCTCCATGCCCCTGTCACTGGCCTTTAGCTTCTTTCCTCATGCTGAAGGGTTTGCCCGTGAGCCTGCTTTGGTTTGCCTGCCAGCGATTGCTGTGCCAATTCGAGATTCTTGTCTTTGGAACAGTCTCTGTGAATCAAAGGAACGATTGCAATGCCAAAAAAGCACCCACGTAGCTATGCATGTTCATGTGTCCTCCAATTTTCCGCATGAAGGATGCCCACCAACAAGGGCAGGGCTCGACCAAACCCGATAAAGAAACTGCCTATGGGTCCCCCAAAATTCAATTTCAGTCTTCCCCGAAGGGAAAAGGAACACATGGAATTCCAGGGGCCACCCCCTTTTTTCTCCCCAAGTCCTTTTTTACGAAGGTGTTACACATGGTTGTTGCCCCCCTTCAGCATCCAGGACCTGGCTGGAAAGCAAACAGCAAACAGTTTCCCAAATTTCGTAGATTGAATCTGTGAGACGCGTGAGTCCGCGCGAGCTGTGGCAGGTTGTCGCGTGTCGGGTGTCGCTTGCTTGCGGCGAGGTTCCATGGCCTCGTTCAACGGCCGTCTTTGGGCCACATCCAGCTGGCCGAAAAGCGCGCATAGAATTTTCAAGCGGCGAGGCCAGGCATAGGTGTCAGCCATGCCATACATGGCTCGAGGCAAAAGGACCTAAGGATGACCTGATCTTTTGGGAGCTTTGCAACTTCCACAGAACAGAGTTTACATTGTTCTACATGCTCATGTTTAAAGATACGTCACACAACTCGGGGGCACCAACTCAGGCAAGCATCCCAAAGCCCAAATGAGTTTTGACTAGCCTCTAGGCCACCGTTGGCCTTGTGGATACGCCATACATGTATTTTCTAATACGACTCAAGATGGCCAGAGGCAAACCCCACACCCTCAGCGGCCATGGGAGAAAAGACAACATCCTGTTTCAGGCACTTGGATCTTGAGGAAAGCCACCTAAGAATCGGAAAGCCTCGCCTCGGGCACCTCCAAAGTCTTGCCTCTGAACTCCCCGTTCTCGATCTCCTCGCGTACCCGATGTGGCGGATGGGAACGTAATGCGATTATGGTGAAAGTCCTTGCTGGGTTTGATTCAAAACAGCGGAACCCCCAAACATTTGTGGTTCTCCTTTGGCATTTCCTTTTACAAACCCCAAAAGAAACCCAAAGGGGGTACCCTCAAAAAAAAGACACACCCTACCGGGAAAAATGCCGGGTTCTCCTGGCAGCAGAATGTCCCTTGCACCGAAGGAAAATCATGCAGTGGTCGCAAACAGCCCTGCAAGAAAGGGCGTGAGTGCTTCCCCCCCCCATCTTAACTTTTGGGGTGGGGAGTATGTTGGGGTTAGATTAATCCACTTGGTGATGGCAAACGGAGTTTCTCACTGATTTGATCTATGGGTCAAACTTGGAGGGTTCAACCGACCAGGCCCTTGAAGTGATGACTAGGTCTTGTGGCCTATAAGCCCTTCCACCCCTATTTAATATGTCAATGTGCGTTCTTCTTGGTTCACCTTGGTTTCACGTGCTTCGGGAGGTCTCTTGAGCTTTGCCTGCGCCGCTATGGCGAGCGGACGCCACGGAAGGGTGAGTCCTGTTTATTCAACGCCCAAAGCAAAAACGGTTACTCCTCATTACTTCGACCCAATACCAAGCCAGTACTAATTCCGACTGATATTGGGGGGGGGGGGTAATTTCAGCACCTTCCTTAGAACTCCAACTGCTGCCACCAAGAGAAAAAATGAGGCCCAGATTCGATCCAAATGCGTAGGAAAAACGAGGGGGCTTCTGGTAGCCGAGTAATTTTGCTAATGTGCTAAAACAACAAAAAACACGACTGTTTCTCCTTTTTTTTTGGGCGGGGGTGGGCGGGGCGGGATTTACTATTTATTCGGGGATGATGTTTAGTCAGCAACTGGCCATATTTCAATTGAAGGAGGGTGGTTGGCCACCTTTGTTTGGCCAACAAAGGCGGGTATAAAGCCGATATGGATTTTACTGGGCTTACAACCCAATTCATAGGCAAACCGAGGCAGCCAAGAAGGGGGTCGAATGTCTGCGTATCGATATGCAGGAGACAACGGGCAGGCCTCCACCTTCATCTCGAGGTAACCCTTGGGGTCCCCCATGTCTTCTAACCTTGCGACAGTCTCGTCACACAGAATTACGATTTGCCTTGTGGACAGCGTTGTTTCTAAGCTCTGATCGAAGACGCATGTTGCTTTTCTTCTTTTTTTCCGAGAAATATTTGATCAGTGAAATCTAGACACCCCTTGTTCAAGAAACAAAGAGCACCCCTAGCATAACTGCTCACGATCTCAGCAGGCGGCTCGCCCAGGCATGTTGCCAACCATGACCCTGGCCTAGCTTAGAAAATTGCATTCGAAAGTGACCCCAGGTTTTGGACCACCATGGACGCCCGCTTGGCGTTTTCGGCCCTAGCGTCTAATATGCAACCGGAACCCTGTGGTTCGGCTTCGAGGCCCGCGCAGCTCATCCAGCTTCAGGAGCACACTTTCTTTGGTGTCGCGCTTCTTCATTATCTCCTCCGCTTGGAGTTTGGGTGGAAACTTCGACCAATCTTCACCCATGGTGAAATAAACTCCCCCATTTGAGCCAAGCCTAGAAAGTACTTGTTTCCCGCACACATGGGACATTCGGTTCCGTCCAAAGTGGTTAAATAAACTCCCCCACGCTCGCAAGGTGTTGGTGGCTCGGGGTGTGGAACGTCGACCACCCTGTAACTAATTCTAAGCCCTAGCCTCAATCATGCCTGTCTCTTTTTTTTCAACGCGCCTTTTTCCGGTGCAGCAAGTCTTGTCCAGAAACCCCCCCATTAGGGATGCCTCTGGGCACAGGAGGGCTTGAAGGCCTGTCTGATCTAAAAGAAGGGAAGTCTAAAAAGAGACCTCTTGGGAACAAGTGGACGGGCACGTCAATCAGGAGCCGAAAGCTAACGGCCCAAATGCAAAGGGATGTCACGTCGCCACTTCCACAGTAACCCTTCCCCTCCCTTCTGGAAAGCTCCTGATAACCTTCCTAGGAGTGATTTTTACAGGGGTTTCTGGAGTCGCGGAGCCCTACGGTTTTCCAAAAAAAACGGTACAGCAAGATTCAATTGCAGCGGCGGTCCTCATTCAGCCGCTTCAGTAAGGAGTTGTCGACGATCTTGTGCTTGTCGAAAAAAGCCTCTCGCAGGAGAACTGAGAGAAATACACACACACACACACACACACACACACACACACACACACACACACACACACACACACACACACACATGAACACATGAACACATGAACACATGAACACATGCACACATGAACGCGCTCTCGTTTCCCTCTATCTCTCTCTCTCTCTCTCTGTCTCTCTCCCTCCCTCCCTCCCTCCCTCTCCCTCCCTCCCGGAGATGTAAAGCCGCCCCAAGCATGACGAACCACGCATGTGATGTCTGACTTGTAACTGAACACAACAAAGCTCCCGGAGCCTTGACATCAGGATCTATGGGCGGCTCTCTGTCCTTAGCACTGGCGAGCGCATCTGGGAGCGACAAGGAAACCCGCCAAGTCGAATCCCATCAAGAGCTCTGTTCAGGTATGGCTGGAATTTGTCAGGTGTTACATCTTAAGGTTCACTTTCAAAATAGTTCAATATGTTGGATTAATATGAAAACATGTCGCTTTCTGTTGAAAAGCAACTCCTGCAACACGTGCTAAGTTTATTTTGGGTCCGTGTTAATTGGCGGGTGTAAGCACCATCCGCAATGGGGAACACGCTTGTTTTGGCAAGACCCACATCCACGCGATCGATTGCGAGCAGGTAAGGCTGCCACACCAAACTTCAAGTTCAGAAAGTCCTGGCCGGCAGCTTCATCAAAGCTGGGTATTCGGTATTCACATCTTTCGTTGGGGGGAGGGGGTCCTCCCCTTCCACACCCTGCCCGGTTGTCCCCATCCCCCCTCCAATTTAATCCACTAGGTTGATTTGTAGGGGTTCGACCCCCTACTTGGGGAAGGCCCCCCCCCTCCAATTTAATCCATCAGGTTAAAAAATGTGGGGGGTCGACACTTCAGGGGGACTGACCAAAAAAGCAGAAACCGGTTGATTTGTAGGGGAGCGACCCTTACTTGGGGAAGGGGGACTGATATGAAATCAAATCGGAGCCCTCCTTCTTCTCCAAAGGATCGATCTGCTTCGGCTTCGAGGCCGACCTCACGGCAAGTGGCCTTCCTCTGGCTCGCTTCAGAAGATGCAAGTCCGCACCCTCCCAACCCCCCCCCCAAAAAAAAAGAAACAAAAAAAAAGAAGTGTGTCTTGCTAAAGTTTACCTTGATGAGGCCAATTGCCTCGCTAAGGCCACTGCCTTGCTAAGACCTTATTCGGAGCAAGACTGTCAGTCTAAGGCATGCACACTGGAGGCACCATTCCCGGCATCATCATGCCTGGCATCATCCCAGGCATCATCATTCCTGGCATCATCATGCCCGGCATCATCCCGGGCATCATCCCAGGCATCATGGGCCGCATGCCCATGCCCATCCCAGGCATCATGCCGGGCATACCTGGAGTCATGCCTGGCCAGGGCGTCAAATGGCGTCGCTGCATGTTAGAGTTAGAACCTTGTACAACGATGCACCCAGCATAACATAACCTGTTTTGCAAAACCAAGCTGGGCCATCCGCGGCGGGGCTACTTTTTCACAGCAACAACGATTCAGTAAACTTTTCTAGAAGTCTATCCCGCAGTCTTTGGTTTCATTGGAAAACCAACGGCATCTTTGACACTCGCCTTCCAAAGTTGGTTGGCAGGAGAACAAAAGGCTGGACTCTTCCCAAATAAAACTTCCCCTCTGGTCTACGGCAGGGTGCTTCGCTATTAAGCGGCTGGTATCCCGCGTGCCAGCCCGCAGCTGGAAGAAACCAACAACCGACGAAAACAACCGCACATGACAACACCCGATGCATCCCGATGCCCTAGCTCCGTGGTTCTTGCCTCTTATTCCGGTATCCCTGGCTATACCCCGAATCC